AAAATATTGCACTTATTACTATTAACACGTCACCTCTTTACTTTTTTAGAAGAATAAATTGAAAATCTCTCAGTTTTGGGAACATTTTGATTTAACCAGAAAACTTGAAGCAAAACAAGTACGCATAGAAAATTGTTATATGCTTATTTAAATATCAACTCATGATGTATATATTAATACAATGAATAGAGTGTAGCCCAAGTTAGCATACAGATTAACGCATTAAAAGTGTTGGATGTTTCAGCTGCCCACCAAGCGAATGAACTTATCAAACGAACATGTCCTGTTCTTTCTGGACTTAACTGTAGCCAAAATTGTGACGATGGTAATATCGACCATGGTGATGACGACTTAACAAAAATGGTAAAAATAGTAATCATTTATACATTTGATTTCTACAAAAAAAAAAAACTTCTATAATATTGTATTTTGAATACAGAACAGCGTGAATCTGAAAAAGCGCAAAGCTTATACTGCTTTTGATGAAAAGTTAGATGATCTACATAATGGTAAGCTTTTGGTATATTAGTTTAGGCTGGTAAAGTGTACTGATATTTTCAATCTCTATGCAGATGAGAATCTAAATGTTGACCAATTTGACAACAGTTACTCTTCCTCCGACGTCAGCTTTGCTTCATCTCACATTGGTGAAGATTTTTTATTATTTGATAATGATGAGAAAATAAAAATTGATCTGACAGAAATCGCAAAGCAGCTGGAGCAGGAACCATTAAATGAAGTAATTTTCACCTTTCGCTTTTCTATGGTATATTTTCTTATTATGTTACAATAATGTTTATATTTTAGTGGGTAGTCGAGGGTATTCGAGTGACACAAAAATTCCGAGAGTACCAGAAAAAAGTGTTATATAAAGCAAACAAAGAAGGGTTGACATGGGATGACACCTATGAGGTTCTGTAAGTACATGATAATTGACCCCAATATATTGACATATAAAAGAAAAAAAGGATATTGTGTTATCAATATATTCTAAACAAAATAATTGAATATTTTATTAAAACGTCACTTCATTTTAGGGGTTTGTCATCAATTTTAGTATTATCTTGGCCATGTCCTTATCCAATGTTTACGACTGAAGAGTGGATACTCATTACAAAAACAAATCCATATGCGTTAACCGAACCCGTGTTTCCACCAGAAATTTCCACCTCTTTAAATAATGCCGTTTGTAAACATTGGAATGGTGAAGACGTTTATATATATCCTGGCGATTCTGCATTGAGTAAAGCAGTTTCAAGATCATTCAATGATATGTATGTAGTTTATCTGTTTTACAT